AAGTTATCTTTAATAATGAAGGGTAGGGGTGGACATGTGAATTATAAGGAATGAAGATATGGTCTTCAGGGGATGGAGTCATAGTGAGCAGTTTACCCTTTATGTCCTCTGAGAATGCCTTGCTTCTGTTTATGTCACAGGCTAGGATCTTGTTCTGCCTCCATTCATCAATGGAATGACTTCTTGTTTCTCCATATGAACCAGTTCCTGACATGTGTGGACTTCTCGGGCAACAAGCTCCTGGATGGGGGTGCCATGTTGCTGTGTATGACTCTGAAGTATCCCAGGTGCTTCCTGAAAAGTATTTTAAAAGTGCTGTATTTTCTCTGTTTGTCTTTAGACATGAGGCATAGTGACATCAGACTTGCTGAGTAACCAATATGGATCCAGCCACTGACACAGATACCTGCTCATGTTCAGTCTGTGGAAAGTGGTTCATGGATCTTCTTATTCCATCCCAACTATGTGATAAAGGATATGGGAATCAACAATGGCTTGAGCTTCTTTCATTAGGAGGCAGCTGAGAAGGCTATGCATTGGAAGGTGTTTTTCATCTGACCAGCTGTTTCATTCTTTTGAAGGATGGAAAACTGTCAACTCACAGAAACCTATTGCAAGGTGCTCTTTTCCTTTTTAATGGTCAGCCAGAAGCTGACACATCTGAGCCTGGCCAGGAACAACCTTGGAGATGGTGGAGTGAAAATCCTGTGTGAAGACTTGTGTTCCCCTGATTGTAAATTACATGTGATGGTGTAAGTCTTCAGGTCTAGTTTCTTCCCCTACACCCACCCCCTACACTTGCCCCTCTCCCCGCCCTCCCTCCACCCTTGCATCCTAGGAAACCCCATATCCAGGAGCCGTGTGTTTCTTCATAGCAGAAGAATTTGATTTGATCCTCTATCACTTAGAGATAATTGTGCAGTCAATTTGCATGTTAGTATGTACAAATAAACCTGGTAGCATAAAGCTTGATGTAGTGTTCAAAACAACTTCCCAGAGGTTATCGAGTGTTTCTTATTTTCTTGTTCTGCGGGATAAAGCACAACAACACAACCGCTCATGGAATCAAGCATATGTCAGGTGCTCAGTGGAGACTCTAACTTAACACACTTGAACCTGGGTCTGAATCTCATAGCTGCTGGACTGATGGTGTTCTGTAACACTTTAAAAATCCAAAATGCAGTCTAAAATGCCTAGGGTAGGTTTTGGTGTTTATTTTTAGAGAGTTTGGAATCTTTAATTTCTTCTAGAACATCTCAGATTGCAGAAATATTATTCCTTTTAGATAAACTCCTCTGGGACTCAGTATAGGTAACTGACTGGGCGCTCACAACATTGTTCAGGGGCATTGAGGACATGGGATGGGAACAGTTTACAGTGAGGTGAGTTTCTGGAAAACACTGTTTCTGTTGGGATGCAATGACCAGGAAGCCTAGGTCATGCCCCTGTTCAGTAATTGGGCAACTGAATGTTATACCAAACCCAGAAAATGCAGTGGTCCCATAAAGAGCATGATGAACCTCATTTCCCTTCTCTCTTCCAAGTCTCAGCTAAACACAATTCAATGATGCAGCCTACTTTGAAGCCAGGGTTCTGGGAAAGAGAATCTGGGTGGTGAAATCATTTCATGACTGCAGAGACGAGAAAAGAAAAACAACACTAAAATTATAGATGCTTCTGTTCTGTTTTGACTGTGACTGGGAATTATTAACAACTTCTGTCAGGGTTTGTATAGATCTAGGGGTGGACTGGCAGAAGGATGTTTGTGTAAACAGCAACCTCCCTTGCCTAATAAGAGCAAAGGCAGCATGGAGTTGACAAGGGGGATCCACTCCCCTTTCCCTGCCTACCCAACTTTGTGATCATTAAGTTAAATTTGTGTAACTGATTTGTGCTAACTGTATACTCTTGGATGTATGGTCATTCACTGGAGTATGGTCAACCCTACATAAATTGGATGTATATATCACAATGCCTCATCCTAAGGTTCCAGGATCATTTTGAAAGAGGGTGCATATGAACTCAAACTGATCATTACAGTATGTACAAGACCAGGTAAAGCTCAAATCAGACAAAATCCAAGCATTGGAGACTATGGTTAGGGCTACTATTGCTGTGGTTAAACAGCATGACCAAAAAGCAAGTTGGGGGAGGGGAAGGGTGTGTCTGGTTAACACTTCCACATCACTGTTCGTCACTGAAGGAAGTCAGGACAGGAACTCACACCAAGGCTGCGGGATCCTGGAGGTAGGGGCTGAAGTGGAGGCCGTGAGGGTTGCTGCTTACTGGCTTGTTCCTCATGGATTGATC